CTCACGCCATTCAAGAGGCTAGGGTCCATCCTTGATGATATGGAAGGATGGAACTTCTAGTGATTTACGATGCCGATGATGATGATATGTGTCGGTTGAACTTGTATACTTTTTGTAGCGATGAAACTTTGTGATGTCCACGGTCCCCACCAAACTTGCGTAACGCTACTTTGTTAGTTTACGTACGATGACATGTGTACCTCTAGTTAATTAGTTTGCGTACTGCATGTTGCATCTAGTTGCTAACCCTTTCTTTTTCGTGTTGCTCTAGTATATTTTGTTGCATATGATTGTACATCCTCTTCATGAAGATGCATCTCTAACAGTTACCTAGTTTCTTGATGGCGAGATGGTAGTGCTATGTCGTGTACAAAGGGAAGGTTCCGGGGGTGTACAACGAGTGTCCTGAGTGTCAGGCGCAAGTGAATGGGTTCTCGGGCGCCAGCCATAAAGGCTTCAAAAGCAGACAAGAAGGAGAAGCTAGTTACTTGAGGTTCATGCTAGCGCGAGAGAGGACTCGTAACCGCCACCTCATGTACTGCATAGTTCCGCTCTCACTCATAGTATAGCTCTTCTCGCGTATACCTTTGTTTAGATGGATGACGTTGTAGTTACAAGTATTCGAGACTTGCATGTATCGCTATTTTCGAGATGATGACAAGATACCACTTTGTGTTGGATGATGATTATGATGAGACTATTTGTATGTATATGTTATGATTACATTTGTGGTCTCGCAGGCATTTGTATGTGTATCATGATGACATTTGTATGTGCTAAAGATTCTTCTATAAAGCCTGTTCAAATACAAAACAAATATGCAGAAAAAAGCAAAAACTACTAAAATTAGCAGTAGCGAGAGGAGAAAAGTTAGCAGCAGCGTGATAGTAGCAGTAGCGCGCACAGGAGAAGCGCGCTATAGCTATTAGCAGTAGCGAGCTCCCGGGAAGAACACTGCTGCTACACTTGTATATCAGTAGCGTGGGCGCGCACGCGTTGCTGCTACGGGTTAGCTGTAGCGCCTTATTAGTAGCGTTGCGTCCCGCGCTACTGATATACCTAGAACCCGTGCTGCTGCTAGGCTTTTCCCTAGTAGTGATCCCTAGCAAATCAACAAGTTTGAGTGGCTAGAGAGGGAGATCGGGCAATAAAGCTTCAAGGGCATTAATGGAGGAGAGAGAGAGAGAGGCAAGAGATAGGTGGGAGGTGGGAGAAGCACCTCCTTAAATAGGGTCCCCTCAGATCCAACCATTATGCGCAGAAACCCATAGGAACGGTACTTCCGGTGGAGCCATCGGTATATCAGAATAAACCGAAACTACCGTTCCACCACCGCTTGGCTACCGCTTCACAACAGAAGTTTTTCACCCTAGACCGGTAGTTGGAGCGGTGGTTGGGCCGGAACTACGGCTGGACCAGCAATTCCTGGGTAGTGGAGTTCCAGGCGGTACTACTACCCAGAACACCGGTAGTACCGGTTCGTCAAGACAAACCGGAACTTCCGTTCCATCACAGGTCTACCATCGTACCCGGTACAGAAGGGTGTCACCCCTGAGCGGTACTTGGAGCAGTGGCTTGACCGGAATTGCATGCCAGCAGTACGACCGCTCAAGAGAGCGGTACTACCGCCATGAGCGAAACTGCACAGTCACAGAGGACTTTGGGAACCTCTCTCTCCTCGAACGGAGGGTATATGGTGGGTGCAAAGAATGTGTACGTGTAGTGATTCACCCAATACCTTCCGATGAGGATTCCCTCTAAAATGTATGGGTATCCTACGATCAAAGGAATAAAAAGGTCGGAAACTCCGTCTTCAATCTTTTCTGCATAGAGGGAAGGCCTAACCGTCTTGCGCCACACAATGTGTACCTGAGAAAACTGGGACGCATGGTTAGTCCACACGCGTGTTGTCATCATCACCAAAACCCTAAGGTAGGACATGCCCTTACAGCATGCCTTGCTACCCTTTCTGTCACTGGGTGAGGACACCGCAAGATCGAACCCATCACAAAGCACCTCTTCCCATGGCAAGAAAAATCGATCTAGTTGGCCAAACTAAACCAAAGTTTTGGAGAAGAAATACGAAGCTATAATAATCATGCATAAGAGAGTTCAACAAAGACTCAAATAATATTCATGGATACATCTGATCATAAATTCACAATTCATCGGATCCCAACAAACACACCACAAAAAAGAGTTACATCAAGTAGATCTCCAAGAACATCGAGGAGAACATTTTGAAGATCAAAAAGAGAGAAGAAGTCATCTAGCTACTACCTACGGACCCGTAGGTCTGTGGTAAACTATTCAACATCATCGGAGAGGCATCAATGAGGATGATGAACCCCTCCGTGACCGTTTCCCCCTCCGGTAAGGTGCCGGAAAAGGCCTCTAGATTGGATCTCGTGGTTCTGGAACTTGCGGCAGTGGAAACTCTAATCTCTATGCTCCCCTAGGGTTTTTGAAATATTTAGCTATTTATAGAGTTGAGAGGAGATGGAGAGGGGGCCTATGGGCCCCACTACCCACCAGGGCACGCTAGGGGCCTCTAGCACGCCCTGGTGCCTTGTGGGCCCCATGGGACTCCCCTCGGGCACTTGCTTGGCTCCCAAGTTGTCTTTTGGGTAGAAAAAAATCTCCAAAAAGTTTCATGGCATTTGGACTTCATTTGGTACTGATATTCCGCAAAGTAAAAAAACAAGCAAAAAAACAACAACTGGCACTGGGCACTATGTCAATAGGTTAGTCCCAAAAATGATATAAAGTTGCTATAAAATGAATATAAAACATCCAAGATTGATAATATAACAACATGAAACAATAAAAAATTATAGATATGTTGGAAACGTATCACCCTGTCCCTCCAGTTGGTCCTCTCCACTCGCCCAGTAAGAGCATGGCCCTGAATCAGCAGGGTCATGATCATGGTGAAGTCCTCGAGTGTCACCGTCATCTCACCATACGGGAGATGGAAACTATGCGTCTCGGGGCGCCACCGGTCGATCAATGCCGTGAGAGCCGTGCAGACGAGCGTCGGCAACTTTTGTTTGAACTGAAGCATGAATCGAGCAGTCGTGCTCTCCTGAAGTACGACATATAACCGCTTGTCATATTGCATCTGAACGGCCTTGGTGTGGCCCCTCATCCGCAATGGGGGTAGCATTTGGCAAAATATAATCAGAAATACTTAGTAACTTCATTTCTCATAATAACCAATAACTTCTGCAACAACTTGATCATGTATATTACCACTCCATTCTCCACAAAACGGGAGCGCTGACCGTTGCCGAAAGCATGATGTACTTGACGCCGATGTTGGGCGCAAGGGGGGGGGGGCTAAAACAATTGGAAATGAATCAAGTTCAAATATAAATGATATCATTTTCAACCAACATGAATCATATCATTTTGAAATATAAATGATATCATTTTCGATAAACATGAATCATTTTCAACCAACATGAATCATATCAAGTTCAAATCTAAAGTCAGCATACATATGTATATGATTCATTCATTCAACAACATCCATCATATGTAGCCAACTAGTTACAATCCCTCCGACATCCATCATATGACCATTCATTCAAAAAAATGGTGGTAAACTAGGGTTCATATGGAAACTACATATAATCTCTCCAGCTAGTTACTAGAGTTCATATTCAACCTCATACATCATATAGAATAAAGCTAAGCGAACCTAGGATCAACCAAAATTAAAATCTAGTAGGAAAAAATGGTCCATTTTGACCAAATAATGCATCGAATCAAAAACATTTTGACTAAAACTAATTGGAGGGATTGAGAGAGCTTACTTTTCTCATTTAGGAGCCATCTCGATCCGCAAAAATGGTGGAGAGACGAAGAAGATCGGAGGGGGGGAGTGGAGGGATGAGGAGGAGTTGCTCTTTGTTACTGGGTGGTGCGGCTCAGGGGAGAAGATGGGGGGTGGCGTTGGTGGGTGGGCCCTGCGCCCCGGCCCCATGGTTTATAACTGTTCAACATCTATCGCCAGGGTCTCCGGCGGTAGGGTTTCATAGCCTACCGCCTGTGTACCTGGCAGTAGGGTGGACGGCAAGAGACGACTGTCATTTACTCGGACTGACGTGGATGAGTGAGCTACCGCCTAGGCTTTGGTGGTAGCCTTTACAACCCTAGCGCCATGGACCCTGACAGTAGAGAAAAGTGTCAAATCTCGAAATAATTTTGGTCAGATCATGTTAAACTTTTCGAAAAAAGATCAAAACACGAAAGGGTTGTTTGGTTCGTGACTAAGATTGCCAAAGTTTGTCACACCTAAGATTAGGCAAGTTTGACCAAATTAGTTGAGTGTTTGATTTAAGGCACGCCTTAGACAAGCCACACCAAGACCCCGCTTGACATGTACACAAAAAAGTGACAATTTGCCAATTTACGGCTCTCATTTTATTGAGCTAACCTAAGACAAATTTAACAAAAAATGTGTGGCAATGCAAGACTAGAACCAAACAGCCGAAAATTGGCCATCTATGCCCGCTTGGACATTCGTATGCGTTCAAGTGCTGCTCAGTCTGATGCCCGCTGCGCCGGCCAGGAAAAAAATAGTACTACTAGTACTGTAGCAGCAAAGGCAATGGCCGGCCCCACTCCGTGACCTCCGCGGTCAGTACAGTACCGCAAGAATAGCGTGGGTTGTACGCTGGTCACCACTCGCGTTCACGGGACGAAGGCCCAGAAAACCGAGGAAGAAAAAGGCCCAAACCGAGGAAAAAGGAAAACGTTCAAGTGCCTAGGCGATACACGACGGTGCCGAGACGTGCCACGTGACGCACTGGGGCACTCCTGCTCCCTTCTTCTTTAGCAAGAAAGAAAGAAGAAAGAAAACAGTCCCCGGCCGCCGCACCTGAGAGCCCTCATAAAAGTTCGTCGAAAATAATTGGCGAAAAGACTGGATCTTTATCTGCAGGGAGGTGCTTCTGGAGAAGAAGGGTAAGCAGGATTCAGACATCCATCAGGAGATGGGGGTCAAGAAGCCGCAGCCGGCGCCGGAGAAGCCAAAGCCGGAGCCGCAGGTGCTAGTGCCGCCGGTCTTCGACTTCCCTCCCTTGGCCGCCCGCACCAGGTCTTCCCCGTCGGCTCCTCTCTTTCTTGAGAATTCTTTCTTTTGATTATCAATTAGGACTACTTCCCTCTCTTAATTCC